GCAAGCTACCTCAAAATATTCAGTTCAGTGAGTAAATTGGTAGAAAGGGCAGTTCATTTACCTGTGAGCTTCTTAAACACTGGCATCTCATCTTAGCCTCATTTATAAGCTCCGTCGTTCTTATAGTAGGAGAGTGAGAGTCCTCTGTTCGGTTCCCAGATGCTTCCTCCCCTCCCACCCCAATTTCAGACGTGTTCTAGAACATGACGCAGCCCACAGACCTCGAAATAAGGCCAATCCCTAGCAGGTGGCATGTGTGGAAAGACAACATGTGTTCGAGTAAAATTCTGATAATGATGGTAATAACCAAGAAGGGATAAAACCTATACAGGGTGTACCATGCTTCCTGCCCCTGCAGGAACTCACTCATCGCTGCCAACAACCCTTGAGATCATTTCTGCTATGATTTCCATTGCATAGGAGAGGAAATTAAGGCAGGCTCTGCTCCTACAGACAAGGCAACATCCACATGAGGCTCTGTGGCCATGACAATAATAACTGCCAAGCATCCAAAATGAAAACCATCCCCACACGCCACGATATTTTGAATTTAATTTAAAAAAAAAACAATTTGCAATGAATATTATAAAAATAAATATATTACAATTCGGGTGTTCTCGAATATTTTCAGCTGAAAATTCTTATGAAAAATGATTTTAAAGTTGGTCAGAGTTGCCACTTAGGGAAAACATTTTTTTTTTTTTATAGACACATGTGGCCATGTGGGGAAGGTCCGCCGCTTGTGTCTACAGACACTTATGGCGCACAATGGGTTAAAACCAATCAATTCAGTGGGGGAAGTGCAGTAATATCTCTAAAAAGGTCCTCAGTTTACTTCTGCTCCACAAGTATGAGCATCTGAGAGGGGAAGTGCAGCACCAGGCTGCAGAGCCCAGGTTCTGAATCAGGCAGACCTGGGCCACCCTTCAGGAGCTGTGGGACCTCGCAGGGCCTCAGTTCCTATCTGCAAAATGGGGGTAATTTTAGCACTGACTTCATAGAGTTGTAAAGATGATAAGAATTAATATACACTAGGTCCTATGTGTGGTGGGTACCAAAAACTGGTTGTGCTTTATTTATTCCTTCACTGCTGTAAAGTAATGGAGTTTCTATGGTTTTAAGAAGGAGAAGTTCTAGCTCTGCCTACCTACCAGGTAAGCTGCATTTTTCTGTTTTTCCTTCCTGCAACCTATCTAAAAATGTACCAGCATTTATATCCTATGTTTCTGTTGTTCTGACTATCCGGTAATGACCCATGCTATGTGGATTTCTCAGAAGTTGAATTAAGCCCTTTAAATTCTTGTTTTGTTTTGATTTGGGGCATTCAGACACGGTGGAAATGGAGAACTCATATTCAGGGCACATTTACAGTTTCAGTGTCCAAGACGATTTACTTTTATTTATTTGATTAGAATTCACCCTTGGCCTTACTTCCAAAACAGGATTTTAAGTAACTACAGTTTCCCTTACAAAATAGGCCTTTGTTTACATAGATGCTGAGAAAGTACGGCCGATTTGATAGTTTATGTGCAATCACCAAAGAAGCCCTTCTTAAGTTTTTTAAAATCAATTTACTGCACACTTAATGTGTTTTTGGCAGTAAAATGAGGTACCAGGGAGAAAAGAAAAAAATGAAAGATCCCTGTTCTGATTTTGTTGTGAGGGAAAAGAAACATAAATATACAAAGACAACTGAAGATTAATGAAAAATAATCTATACTAATAATAGAGGAATATGCAAATTGGTGGGACACCTTCACACAACGACCAAACAGCAGGCTGCGTGGGGTGACCAGGCCGGCAGGGGGGGCAGTTAGGGGTAACCAAGCCCCAAGCCGGCAGTGGGGGGGCAGTTGGGGGCAATCAGGCTGACAGAGGGGGCAGTTAGGGTGATCAGGCCAGCAGAGGGGGCAGTAGGGGGTGACTAGACTGGCAGGGGGGCAGTTAGGGGTAACAGGTTGGCAGGGGGAGCAGTTAGGGGCAATCAGGCTGGCAGGCAGAGGCGGTTAGGGGTGATCAGGTAGACAGGCAGGTGAGCAGTTAGGAGCCAGCGGTCCCAAACTGTGAGAGGGATGTTGGACTGCTTGTTTAGGCCTGATCCCTGGCAGTCGTACAACCCCCGAGGGGTCCGGATTAGAGAGGGTGCAGGCTGGGCTGAGGGAATCCCCTCCCTTGTGCACAAATTTCATGCACCGGGCCTCTAGTTAATGAATAAAGAATGTATTATGATGTGTTCTATAATTCCAAGAAAATAAGGGAGAGGAACAGAATGGAATCATTAGCTCTGAGAAAATAGGGAGGGGGACAGAATGTAATAATTAGCTCTGAGTGTCTTACGAGAAATGTCAAAAAGACAAATCAAGATTACTATCAAACAATAGTGGTAATAATTAATGCTGTAAATTATAGAGCTCTATCTACATGCCAGGAACTTTACTGAGCATTTTAAATAGGATTAGCACCCTAGGAGGTCATTTATCTTATTATTCTTATTTCACAGATGGGGACACCAAGCTGATAGAGATTAAGGAATTGCCCAGGTCACACAACTAATAGGGTGTAGAGTCAGGATTTAAAAACCTAAGTCTATCTGACACAATCCCACAAAGAGAAAAACACAAAAGGTCTGTTGGAAAGAAGATCATCACTGAAAGGTCAGAAGGTGAAGAGAGACACCAGCTCTAGAACAGAGGAGCCGCCCGAAGGGAGAGGGAGGAAGTGGCTGCTGACAGTGGCTTTGAATGCTAACCTCAAGGGCCCTAGACCTAACCAAATAGGTAACAGGACCCTCTCGTGTAGAATAACAGGATGAAATCCAGTTTGGCCTAAGTAATCCCTGCAGCTGTGGGGAAAAGAGACTGAAGGGAGCCCAGTTGGTGTGGCTCAGTGGTTGAGCATTGACCTATGAACCACAAGGTCATGGTTAGATTCCCAGTCAGGGCACATGCCCAGGTTGCAGGCTCGATCCCCAGTAGGGGGCATGCAGGAGGCAACTGATCAATAATTCTCTCTCATCATTGATGTTTCTATCTTTCCCTCTCTCTTCCTCTCTGAAATAAAAAAAAAAAAATTTTTTAAGAGGCTGGAGGGAGGAGAAACTTGTCTGCAGAGAGAGCCAGGAAGAGGTCCTCAGGCAATGGGCAGCAGAGATAGCATGTCAAAGAAATGGGCTCTGGCTCCTAGTATTCTGATATCCATGTGCTGAATCAGCTCACCCAAAGCTGAGAGCTCAACATTAGATTTCCACCTCTGCACTCAGAACTCTGAAAATAAAATGCTCTGACCCTGGGCTTTGTCTTCTGGTTGCCAATGGCACTAAAGATCCTTTCCATGATGTGGCGAAGAAAGATGCCATCTATGGAACCCGTGTCTTTCACTGATTCTTTAGCCACATTACATCCTGTCGTGTTATTGTCTGCTAATCTGAAAGGTTATATGTGTGGTTTTTTTGTTTGTTTGATTTTTAGAGAGAGTGGAAGAGAGAGGGAAAGACAGAGAGAAACATTGATGTGAGAGAAACACATAAGATTGGTTGCTTCCTGCACCCACCCCGACCAGGGCCCGGGCCAGTGAGGAGCCTGCAACCAAGGTACATGCCCTTGACCGGAATCCAACTGGGGATCTTATAGTCTGTAGACCGATGCTCTATTCACTGAGCCAAATTGGTTGGGGCTATATGTATGTTTTTTTCCATTTAGTCATTTTTCCCTACCTTATTACTAAATAGTAATATATTTATATGATCATCTGAATGAAAATCATTTTTTAATTTTGATTGGATTTTATACCCGAAACAAAAAAATTAGTGATGGAAGAAGACGTTGCTACATCCTGGCAGCCCTGCATCTCTCCTTTCTGGTTTTCTGTTGCCCTGACATCTGGCCCTTCTTCGGTGCCCACTCCTGTTCGCCCAGACTGACAGGGCGCTTGGCCTGCACATAGAAATGACTCTTGGGCCACACCGCCGGTTGTGAGGTATTGTCCTCTTGGCTTGGAAAAAGCCACTTGTGGAAAAAATGCGGAAAATCCTAGATCCAGACAAAGATAAAACTCCCAGGATCCCAGAAAGTGCCTATAATATAAAAACTTTGCTTTGATATTTGTCAAGAAGAAAATAATTGCAAAAGAGATCGCCTTTGTTAACTGCGTCTTCCTGCGCTGGAGGAGGAGCAGCTGGTCCTCACGCGCAGGTCGCTAATCCCCAATCCTGGGCATCCGCCGGGACTCAGCAGGGGAAATTCTATGCCCTTTGGTCACGGGGTGTGCCTTTAGGGACTTGGACATAGAATGTGCTTTAACAGAAGTTTCTTTAACAGACTTTACCGCAAGACTGCTCTATAATTCTGGATCTCTAAAGCCAGGTAGAAAACCTCAAAACCAGAGCTCTAAAACCTTTGGATAAGTGTAGGTGGAAATCTACTCCGGGCATATGACCCTGCCACCTGGATCTCCATTTCACCTGTGCTCTACCCATCACTAGTCTCTGCCACCTCCTGGAAATCTATACAATACCATTTATTTTTTATAAAAAAATTATTATTTTACCTTATTTTTTTTATTTTCATTGAGTCCAGGGAGGAAGAGAGAGGGAGAAAGAAATAGAAACATCAATGATGAGAGAGAATCATTGATCAGCTGCCTCCTGCACCGCGCCCCCCCCCCACACACACACACACACATACACTGGGGATAGAGCCTGCAATCTGGGCATGTGTCCTGACCAGGAATCGAATTGTGACCTCCTGGTTCATGGGTTGATGCTCAATCACTGAGCCATGCTGGCTGGGCTATACAATACTATTTAGATGCTCACCCCACATCATACACCAAAAGGCAGCATGTCTTGGGCCTCTTGATGCCACAGGTTGATGTTTTACCTGCTTCATCCCTCTTGTTAGTACCAGTAAGATGACGGCCTAGACTTTAGTGCAGCCAGGGGCTATGAAAAGTAGCTCTGTGTTACAAGAGCCTAACACTTATGTTACTCTTTTCATTTCTAGAAAATGAAGTGCCGGCCCCAGCTCCAGCCCCACTCCCGGAAGGTAAGTAAAGACACTCTCTCACCCATTTGGGCTGAAAATCCAGAATGTGTCTCCTGCATGATTTGGCCTTCGGTGAAGCTGGGAGCTTTAACTCCTATGGTGAAGGTGGATGACCACAGTTGTCATGGGTTTATAATAATAACAATACATTGTGTCTGTATAACCCTCTCACGTTTATCTAATTTAGATGACACACCATATACTTGTAAAACCCTTTGAATTATGCCAAAATTGTAGTTGTGCCGATGTTTTAGTGTTGTGGAGGCTGAGCCTCCGAGGGGCTGATGGCTTAGCAGGGCTTTCTCACATAAGCTCAGAGCAAACAAAACACACATCTTTCTTGTGAGAGTGGAGAGCAGATCTCACCTCGGTTCTGGAAGATCAGCAGCCCCTTTGCGACTTGAACTCTGCCACCATCAAGCACCTCCAGAAACTCCTCCGTGAGTTCCTAGGAAGATTTGGTGGCCTGAGTCTCAACATCAGAACCAGTTTCTCCTGTTCTTAGTATCCCGTTGTCCACCAGGTGGCAACAAAAAAAACAAGGAGTAAAGAGTTCCAGTGAACTTGGCAGGTAGAGGCAGTGCTCAGTGACACATACCAGGTAAAGCCAGCTTTTATACCTACAGAGACCCAAGGAAGAGAACAGGACTGAAAGGACTGACAGGCCTGAGTGGAATGTTAAACTCCCAGCATGGGTCTCCAGAATCATTTGTCTTCCATGCAAATGACCCGCAAGATAGAGGCGATGTGCCCTTTCCTATGAAGACATCAAAGTGCCTTCCGGCATCTCTTCCTCCTTGAACAGGATGAGAAACTGGCATTCCTTAAAGAATTATTCACACAGACTGTAGATACAGAGGATAAACTGATGGTTGCCAGAGGCCTGGATGGAAAAGGTGAAGGGATTGAGTGGTACAGACTGGTAGTTACAAAATAATCGTGGAAATGTAAAGTACAGCACAGGGAATAGTCAATAACATTCTGATAACTATGTGTGGTGCCAGGTAGGTAGTGGAAATATTAGAGGAAACACTTTGTAAAGTATAGGATTGTCTAACCACTATGCTGTACACAAAGTAATATTAAACGTAAATGGTAATTGAAAATTTTTTGAAAAAGAATTATTCATAGGGTATTCACCATGTGCCCAACTCTGCCTTAACCCTTCGGAAGGATACAGGGCTCTTTACCAGATTCTTATTGATAACTGGGTACAAACACACTGAACTGGATGCAGTGGAGAGTTCTTAGAAAACATTTCTGTGTATTCAGTGTGCTTAATGCGACATAGAAAATAAAACACAGACAGAGAACAGCTCAATAAATTACAACCACTATGTTGAAACATGAAACAAAACTCAAGGCAGTATGTGATTTAATGCATGTTACTTGAGTTGAGAACGTGGTGTGAAGACACGCGTGGGAGGACACTGTAGACCAGTCCAGCCTAGTCGAAAGCAGGAATTGAATAAGACCTTAGTTGCTAGTGATCTTTTTGCAATTAAGTGTGTAAGGGGATTATGAAGTTCTTCCGCCCTGGAGATCATTTTCTGGAAGACAGCTTGAGAAATCTAACTGCTTACAGAAGCCCCTTTGTCCAGCTAAGAATACCAGACCACATGCCCCAAACCCTTCAGTAGTATAGAAGAGTATTGCTATGTGTCACAATGAATGAAACAGGCTCAGTGCCATGAATTTAAACAGGGGTGAAATTAAGTTTAGTTTTCTTTCAACCAGTATAAATGTGTGACATTCTTCTTAGGAACTTCTCCTTTGGTATATTTCCTTCTTGCACATACAGAGTTATTTTTGCCAACATTGTGTACATTGAGGACCTACAGGCCATTACAGACATAACCTTTCCTTCTGTTCTTCAGATCAGTAGCTGTCACTGGGTCACTATAAAGTTTCCTTTATTATGCCATATTCCATAGTCATTGCACAATACTGACTTCCTGTTGCTCAAACAAGTCTCCTACGAAACTCTGCTCAAAGTGTCTTTATTAGTTAACTAAGATTCAGATCTATATTCAATAAAAAGAGAGAGAGAGTTCTTGCTTGAAAGAATTCCTTTCTTACATGTACCACAAGTCAGACACCATTTGAAGGTATCTAAACTAATGTGGTTTTGAACAGAGAGAAATGCAAAGTAGATGGTCTCCACTGATAAAATATGATTTTCCTGCTATCATATTGTATTATTGGCACTCAACTCAACCCAGAAGATTAATATTTGTCCCAAATTATTTTCTTTGAAACTATTGTACAATTATAGATTTTATACCCTGGCTATATTATATTATCTATATAATAAAAGCCTAAGCGAGTGTTATGGCGGAACGCCATAACAAAATACCACGTGTGGGCGCGCATGTACAGTGCGATTGAAACTTCGTGGCCCATGCACAGAAGTCGGTATTTTGTGGAAGAGCCACACTCAAGGGGCCAAAGAGCCGCATGTGGCTCGCGAGCCGCAGTTTGCCGACCACTGCCCTAGCTGGTTTGTCTCAGTGGATAGGCAGGGGTGGGCAAACTTTTTGACTGGAGGGCCACAATGGGTTCTTAAACTGGACCGGAGGGCCAGAACAAAAGCATGGATGGAGTGTTTGTGTGAGCTAATATAAATTCAAAGTAAACATCATTACATAAAAGGGTACGGTCTTTTTTTTTTTTTAGTTTTATTCATTTCAAACGGGCCGGATCCGGCCCGCGGGCCGTAGTTTGCCCACGGCTGGGATAGAGCATCAGCTTGAGGACCAAAGGGTCCCAGGTTTGATTTCAGTTAAGGGCACGTACCTTGGTTGCTTTCACATCAATGTTTCTCTCTGGCTTTCCCTCTCTCTTCCACTCTCTCTAAAAGATCGATGGAAAAATATCCTCTGGTGAGGATTAACAAACACAAACAAATAAATAAAACATATAAATAAAACATTTTTTTTAAATGTGCTTGTACTTTCCACACAGAACCAAATAAAGAGAAGGAAGCCGGAACTGCACCAGCAAAAGGTGAGTGAAGGGAGGGAGAATGGGGCTGAATTCAATAAAATTAGAAGCAGAAAGAAGTCAGTAACGGTTGCCAGAGGGGTTCCATGGAATTTCTCTGCATTATCTTTCATCAGCCCGGTTAAGTGTTCCTTGTTTTCATCTTCTCTGTACAACCCAGTCAGTATAATGGCAAATGGTGCTTTGGTCCATTTTTATTACACACATTTCTAAAAGAAAAACAACAACGATAAAAAAATACATATCACAAGCACTTGTTGAGATGCCAGCAAATTAATTGGTATTTTCTAATTTCCAATGTGCATATGAAGGAAAAGGGGTGTCTGGTCTTCTTGGGATTACACCAATTTGGAAATTCATCTGGATTGCCCAGTTTTTCTTGAATTGAATGTTTTCATGTCACTGTGCTAAACTGTTCCAGGTTTCACTAGTAATTTTGAAGGCCAGCATCTCATTTTGTAACACTATGTATTCATGTAGATTTATATGATGACATATAGATAGACAAGACACCCTTAAGCAAACATCACATTGCACCTCACTGATTTGGAAACTCATTTATTTCTGCAATATTATTGTTTTTTACTTTATATGTAGATAGTCTAGTTTTAAACAATGAATAATCTTTATTACATGGACCATGAAATACAAATTCTTTTGTGTCCCTATGGAGGAAGTCATTGCCACTTCTGACCATCTGTCTTAAGTTAAGGAGTATTAGTTTTCTACTAAAAACAGTTTTCATGGAGGCAGATTTGACAATTCTGCTTTATATGTTTGTATCATGACTTATATATTCATTCTTATTTGTGTAAGGAATGGCATAGTTTAAATTTTGGAATAACCAATTATTTCCTGACTACAATAAGAACTTTTTCTTTTTTTCTGGACACCACTCCACAAATGTTAAGTATCTTCGTTCTTACTATGTTATATTTCACTACCTAATTCCTATAATATTATTGTCTTCTATACCTGAGTAAAATACCTTTTTCTTTCTTTCAGTACATTGAACAACTTTTCTTCAGCTAACTTGAACTTACACGCTCATAAATGAACACATAATGCTGTTAGTACACTCTCTTTGTCCTTGACCTTCGGTGGCTCCCATGGATAGTAACATGAATATTAATCCTGGCTACATGAGACAGTCTGAAAGTTATTTGCTTATGGAATGCAGACAATGCAAACTCCTAGAACTCCTTCCATGAGATGGGTTCAAGGATGTTTGGACATCTGGCTGAAGTTATTGTAACATTATTCTCTACAAAGCTGATGGCATACACCTCTGTTTCCAAATTTGGAAAGATGTTTGGGCCAGGTTGTAAGGCTCAACCAACAGAGCAGATGATATAATCCCCGAGGGCAAGCTGTCAAAGTTTAAACAAAGCCTGTGCTTGACCCTTAATGTGAAAAGTCATCCAATTATATTTGTGTGTTTAAATGAGAAAATGACTTTCTGTATATTACGGTCAACCAACCAACCAACCAACCAGGCAGTCAACCAATCAACAAAAACTCTTCTTTATGGAGAACACAGTTTGATGAAAGAGCCAGACCAGATGACTAGGGAGGGAATCCTGAAATTAGTAGCCTTTTCCCCCCACTGACATTTGCAGAAGTTAAGCAAGGCCATGGCCACATACAGTCACATGCCCAAATCCATAAACCGCCATGTATCTATTTTCTCTACATGCCTAGGAAGAAAATCAATTTAGGATAGAAGGTGACATCCCTAAATAAAGAAGGTAGGTAAATAGAAGTTGTTTCTAAATATACAAACCTTTCAACTATTACCCACTTTCATCAAGGACAGGAAAATTTCAAAGAAAATACTTAAGCAAAGAATAGACACAATAAACATTGCTGTCTGTATGGCTGTGGTTGAGAAAGAAGATGTGCATGAGCAAAGCAAGATTGACAAGTGCAACAGACCTTTTCTGCAGCATTGACTAGAATGTCCTTCCCTGCTCTTCACCCTCCCCAACCCTCAGTCCATCTAATTGATTTTTAACCCTTCAGCTCAGTTTTACTCCTTTATATAGCTTTCCCCTGACTTCCATCTCCCTTCTTCCTTCTGACTTCTCTTGGACCTATTGCTTCTGTTGTTCAATCACTCTTTTTTCCACTTCCTCACATATTAATGGTTCATTTATTTCCCTCACAGGTGTAAGCTTTTTGACAGCCAGGCACCATGTCTTACCACCTCTTTGGGCCCCTCATCTCATTTTTACTAGTTTCTGCCAGAGAGTCACACAAGGCAAGCTCCTAATAAAGGAATGAACATTTGAATTTTTGTGCTGGCCTAGCTGCTGATCCCACAGACAATGGTAATCTAGATAGATTTTTATTTCTATTTGCTGGGCAGGATGATGAACACCCCATGCATACTCTTAACAATGAGGTTCAGAATGAGATGATGACGCTGTGCATTGAGTGCTCAGAACAGATAGATGATGTACAACCAACTCACTTAAAGCTATTGAAAATGGTCATGCCTAGATATTAGTACATTTTCACACTTAATTGGTCCCCTGTCCAAGTAGTTGACATATATCCAGTTGATAGCTCCAAGACTGCCACTGTTAAGAACATCATTCATACCAATGCAGCCTTAATATCCCAGATTGCCTGAACTGTTATGCAACAACCCGGAAATGTTCTGAACCTTTTTATGTAGCTGCAGAATATTTACTGGTTCTGATATAAATCTTACAAGTAATGCTTGTGGGTAGATGTGCCAACTTTTCATGTTTACCAAGAGTCTCTGTTTGGGAAACAGCTGATTTCCCAGAACGGGGTTTCACTAGTTGTTGATTTGCTTGTTTGCTTCTGGACTTTTCCATCCAGCTATCCTGTTCCTTAATACTGCCCACTTGTCCTGGAATTGAAACAGTAGAGATGGCAATTTGAAAAAAATGTGTTTAACTAAACAGCAATACCAGAATTTACATGTGTAAATCCCTTTAAATCACCGGGAGGCATTGTCCTTATAAAAATAAAGCTACCGTGACTTAGAATTCTTCCATGTATTCTGAAAGAATATGACAGGTGGCAAATTAAAAAAAAAAAAAGGTAAAGTACATATTCTCTTTTTATACCGTCAGTGGGCCAGAGAACTGTCTTTTAGTCTAACGTTCATTTATTCAGCAAGTGTTCAGAGGCAGCTGCGTACCAGGCCAGAGTCTAGTGCTGGGTCCTGCCCTCCAGGAGCTGACTTGGGAGCTTTAGAGGAGAGAATGACCATAGACAGAATTCAGTGCATTTCAGCTTTGAAAGCAGACAATTGTCATGGAGGGCCATGTGTAAAGAAGAATGTAGGTGTTTAAATGGGATTATACTTTTTTATGGTCAACCAACATTGAATCCATGAACATAAAGTAATGAGACTGACTCTCTTCTGTGCCTCAACAATGGGTTCTGTGGCAAGTGTCAAAACTGGTTGGCCCTGTGGGTGGTTGCAAATGTGCCAGCAGCATTAGAATCAGAGATTACTTTGACGATCAGTACTCATTTTAATGCCCAAGTTCTGAATATATATATATATATATTTTTTAATTTTAGTTTTTGCATCTTATTAATGTATAGTCTGTATATTTTTTGGTAAGCCCAATTGGGATAGTTACTACCTTTTGATAATCATGGCAAGAAAAGTAAAATCTTTCTTTTCCCAGTCATTAAAAACAACTTTACCACATAAACTATTGTAAATGAACCCTGTGCATAGTAAAGAGCTCACAAAACTTGAGTTGAAGCCTCTTTCTTTGGGAATGAGCGTGATTGGCAGAGGAGGAAGTAAATCAACAGAAGTTCCAGAAAATTTCTCCTAAATAATATGATTCTTTTAATTTAAAAAATGATTATATTTTTCTTAATTTAGGTCTCTTTACATCTGCAATAACACGATCTTCATGCTTCTTACTATCATGCTAAAATTTTTTGCATAATTTTACCTTTAGGTATCAGACAACCATCTACTAAAATGTCTCTGTGCTTTATGTGTCTTCTAACTACATATTTCTTTGTGAAGAAGTTTGTTAAAAATTAATATCACCATGGTTTTCTCTTAAAATATATATATTTTCTTATTTTAGAGAGAGGAAGGAGAAGGATAGAGAGAAACATCGATCAGCTGCTTCCTGCACGCCCCCTACTGGGGATCGAGCCTGCAACCCAGGCATATGCCCTGACTGAGAATCGAACTGGTGACCTCTTGATTCATGGGTTGATGCTCAACTGCTGAGCCACACCAGCTGGGCAATATCACCATATTTTGTGATTCTAAGACAAAACCATTATAAGATGTAATATCAATTTAATAGATTGGGGGGAGAAAAAACTTACTAAATATGTTTATTGTAAGATGAGTCTTGATTTCAGAAGCATCAAAATGTGAAGGCATGTATCTTCTCATTAAGAAAATACAATAATTTAATCAAATGCCTTAACACATGATGAGTTAGGGTTAGCCGTTGGTGTTATTGTCTTCCATATGTGGTTGTTGTTGTGCTATTTTTATTTTTGGTATGTTAATAATTACTAAAACTGATTACCCTGCTTGAGGAATTCATAAATCTGTCTAAATCAAATCAGGTGTTTACCTGAGGTTTGTTTATAGTCATATGTATTTTATTTTTTTAGATTTTTTTTAAGTATTTTTATTGATTTCAGAAAGGGAGGGAGAGGGAGAGATAGAAACATCAATGATGAGAGAGAATCATTGATCAGCTGCCTCCTGCATGCCCCCCACTGGGGATCAAGCTCGAAATTCAGGTATATGCCCTTGACCAGAATTGAACTCAGGACCCTTTAGTCTGTAGGCTGATGCTCTATCCACTGAGCCAAACATGTATTTCACATGTATTTTAATTTTATAGGCTTTTTGGACTTTATTCTAAAATCTCAACAATAATCTCAAGTTTGTTTTACATAAAAAATTAATGTAGAAAGGCAATTTAAATCAACCATAGGTAGAAGTTATTTTATGCTTAAGAGAGTGTGGAGAATTATAAGAATGTAAATATCCTATTATCAGTGGAAGTCTCTCCCTCAAATTTCAAATTTCATGTGTATCCTCCAAAAATCTCATGTAATATGAGACTAAATTCTTTCTCTCCTTTCCAGACATTCTTCTTTGGGAATTTCAGTTGCTTAAAGAATCATTTTTTTACGGTTTTACAAATGCTATTTTCCCATGACTTAAAGGCAAATAAAATTCTGCTTTGGTGAATTTCCCTTCTATGTAGCTAGGGGAGCTAGCGCAGCTGCTCTAGGTCCATGTCTTCATGTTTGCTGTATCATAAAGAGCCAAAACAGATGTGTATGTTTTCATCATCATTGTAGTCACTTTTTAAATAGAAAAAAAAAAGAGAGAAACTGTGACTTAAATTGTATATTTTTTTGCTTTGTTTTATTTGAAAATGTTCTTTGTATGATGCCATACCTTTCCCATGTGTGTTGTTGAATTAGGCACAACCCAAAAGATTTGGATATTCAATTTCCCTTCTAGCAGTAGAACCTGTTTTTCCATGGTAACCAGATTTAACCAGGCAACTTTTTAAAAATTTTAGGTCAGGATCCCTAAATCTTAACTACATTTCCTAATCTAAAGGAATGTCAGGACCAAAGTTTTATTTATTTATTTATTTATTTATTTATTTTTTATTTTTAAATTGATTTCAGAGAGGAAAGGAGAGGGAGAGGGAGATAGAAGCATCAATGATGAGAGAGAATCACCAATCTGCTGCCTCCTGCACACCCCCCTACTGGGGATTAAGCTGCAACCCAGGCATGTACCCTGGCCGGGAATTGAACTGTAACCTCATGGTTCATAAGTCAATGCTCAACCACTGAGCCACCCTGGCTGGATCAAAACTACTTTTCAAAGAAGGGAAACAGTCAACTTGTCCATTATATTTTCTAGCACGTTAGTAAATTTGGAAATGTATGTATAAGAAATCAAAAACTGTCAATTGAGCAGGAATTGCTGTTTGGAAGTAATGTTGGATCATCTAGAATTCTGTGGTCTGCAAACCACGGTTCGCGAGCCACATGCGGCTCTTTGGCCCCTTCAGTGTGGCTCTTCCACAAAATACCACGTGCGGGCGCACAAGTACAGTGCAATTGAAACTTCATGGCCCATGCACAGAAGTCGGTATTTTGTGGAAGAGCCACACTCAAGGGGCCAAAGAGCCACATGTGGCTCGCGAGCCGTGGTTTGCCGAGCTGCAGTTTGCCGACCACTGGTCTAGATCATTTCATGACACTCTGAAGCTTTGATTTAATATGAGGTGTCTTAATAGTCTAAACTAATTGTGCATGTCCATCCAAATAGTGTTAATATTTAGTTGACATCAAAACTATTCATTCATCAATATTTTGCTTATCTCTTCATTTTAATTTTATGAAAGTATGTGAATATTCTTAATCATTTAGCATTCCAAAGAATTAACTCAAGGATTCATTATACCCTGTGCACAAAGCAAACAAATACCCACAAAACCTATTTAAAATGAAGTGTTCATTCTACTCAAAATGGTTCTAATTTCTATATAATAAAGGAAGTTCCTTTCTAGGACTTGGTTGAGTTTTAAAACTTATTTTTTCAATAATTTTTACAGGACTTTAAATCAAGATTCTTTAACTAGTTCAGTAAATAAAAGTCTTCAAATAAGTTATAAGAATAAAATATTAATATTGAATTAAATTTATGGAAAATATTTTTAAATTACCAGGTATTTCATTTTTATGTAAAATTTTAATTATCTAAGACTTCTGAACTGTAGAATTCTACTGATAGCTCAGACATGCCTATACTTCCCCAAATGTACCATTGTGTGGAATGTTCATGGATATTCCAGAAGGAGTCAAACGTGAACTAAGTTTGGGAAATATTAACTGCTGTATCATTTCTTGTCTCCACCCCAATTGCTGGAGCATATTAGCACACTGACAGCTTTGAGATGTCCGTAATACAAGCACACACACAGTACAATAGAATGCAAGCATTTAACTTTATTTAACCTAACATCTTCCAAGCTTCTCTGACCACAGAAAGCTTCCTCTGAAGATCCTGAATCTCACAGTATCCAGCAAGTCAACTCGTGCGTTATGAAGATATAACATTAAGGTTCCTGAATATTATTATCCTAGTTATTTTGTAAAAAGTAATAATATATATCTTTGGTTGACAGTCTTAGAAATTTCAGGCTAATAAATACTACTTACTGTAAATATGCTAATAAATTATACATAAATGTGCTATTTTATCTCAAGGAATATTTTAAGGCACTTTATAATTAACAGTCATGTGCATGCATTTGCTGAATCCTATTTTATTTTATTATTTTGTTTAACTATATTTTTATTGATTTCAGAGAGGAAGGAAGAGGGAGAGAAACATTGATGAAGAGAGAATCATTGATCAGCTGCCTCCTCCAAGTCCCACACTGGGGATCTAGCCCATAACCTGGGCATGTGCCCTGACTGGGAATTGAACCATGGCCGTCTGGTTCATAGATCAATGCTCAACCACTGAACCATGTCAGCCAGGCAATATTTTTAAAATTATACAGCATTGACCAACACCAATATAATCTTGAGAAAGTTCTTATAAAATTTCTAAAATAATTATTGGTGAAGTTAATAAATATGACAAATTGATTTATATTAGTTAATGTTGACTTTTGTTTTCTATAGAAGGGAAATTAATCATGAGGTTTTCGGGGTGGGGGGAATAAGTTTTTAAACAATACACATATGCTTTGATGTCTGTGTCCAAATGATCATGGTTCATGAATTATGCCTCTCATTGATGTTAGCTACAAAATGAGAACTCAAAAATCACCTCCATTGTGGATTTCATCAAGATTAAAAATGTTAGCATCCTAACCTACAATCACATAAAACGCTTGCATAGAGTTCCAATTTTTAATTTACACTTTCATTTGGATTATCTTACTCTCTCACCCTTTTATTTATTTTTCTCTTTTGCCCAAAACACTCACATTTAATCTTTCAGGTACCAAGTCTTCTAAGGCTTACTCATCAGTTGAAAGTGTTTTGTGTAGTTTCTCCTCCTCTTTTTCAGATTTCTCTTTCCTCAGGATACTTGGGATGATGTCCTTTTCTCCTTGACTTTGTGTGCCTATTTCTTGTTTCAGATGAAGAGGAAGCCTCCCCGTCTTTTGTCCTGCCTCCAGGTTAGGATGATCCCAAACCCTCTCTTTCCCCCACTTTGTAATTTATTATTAACTTGCAGTAAAGGAAAAGAAAAGACAGAACACCTTGATGAGGCAAGGTACAGAGCAGGAGGTGTCAGAGCTAAGAGGAAAAACGATGGCTTTAATGGCAATTTTGTATTTTTTTTAACATGAGGACATTTTTAAAAAGAGTCTTTCTTTGTGAAATAAATGAGATGCATAAATCTTGGATACAAATTTTAGGGGCAAAAATATTTGTCTTCCATTTGTTTTTGTTTTTTTAAATATTATTAATGGTTTTAGAGAGAAACATCAATGATGAGAGAGAACCATTGATTGGCTGCCTCCAATCAATGCACACCCCCTACTGAGGATCGAGCCCACAACCCCAACATGTGCCCTGACCCGGAATTGAACTGTCACCTCCTGTTTCATAGGTCGAGGCTCAACCACTGAACCATGCCAGCTGGGTAATCTTATTGTTTTTTATTTTATTTTTGTTAAATTTTTTATTGATTTCAGAGAGAAAAAGAGAGGGAGAGGAAAAGAGAGACTGAAACATCAATGATGAGATAGAATCATTGATTGGCTACCTCCTGCATGCCCCCTGCTGGGTATCGAGCCCGCAACCAGGGCATGTGCCCTTGACTGGAATCGAACTTCAGTCCACAAGCCAATGCTCTATCCACTGAGCCAAACCAGCTAGGACTCATTGTTTTTTAAATAAGACATCTTTTTAGAGATGCTTTCACAGTTGAAGCTCTACTGATATTCCATCCAAGCCAACTTCTAGTTTTTTTCTCCTTGTTATCAGAAGAGGGTTTGGGGGATCCAAGGAGGTTGCAGTCAGCACTTCATTGGCACCTCTTTCCTCTTGCATCATCCAGATCACGCTTTCCTTTCAGGTTTGGGTAGTCGGGCCCTGGAGAGAAAAGATTCAGGTGAGCAGATGCCTGGAACAATCACTAATGACCTCATTTCTTGAAGCTGCATTGATTCTAATCTTTGTTTTATCCAGTTTGTAGCTCTGATAGCCATCTTTCATTACATTACATTTCTTACAAGAAAACTAATGTATTGAGAAACAATTAATTTTGCATGATACATATACACAAATTCAGGAATCTACCTACATACACCACAGGTTGGTTTGTTTTATTATAACTATCATTTAACAAATACAGAGAGATTAAGAAACTTTTAAAATCTCCACTTGGAGAGTGATGAAGTTAGATAATAATTCACATTTTTATAGAACTTTACATATAGTTGATAAAACACCTACAGATGCATCCTGCCAGCTGTGCTACAATTCATTCATTCTATAAATTTGTGTTGAGTGCCTACTATGATCCCACTATGGGCTTCTTAAGGGCCAAGCATTTGTAGGTATAGAAATGAAAAAAAAAATAGTAAAATTTCTGCCTCGTGTTCTAAATGTGAATGATCACTATTCACTACTATTATTAATATCACAGACACACAACATAAATTTTTAACAACAACTTTGTTATTAAAAATCATGTAATCATGTGACTCATTGCATAACTTCATTGTGAAAATGATGGTCTCTGTGGATAGAAATACTGAGCATGATTGACACATGAAAACTAAAATAACTAAAATCTACATCCCCTTCTTTTCAAGAAGCATTAACAGGTAAAGTTGGTAACCCAAGCTTTTTTTCCAGCTATTTAAGCAGCTGAAACTGAACTTCTCTGAATTCAGCTCTCAGAGATAGAGGGAATATCTATATTCTCTCTCCTACCCCCCTCATTGGAGTTGACTGATGATTAATCCAAGCTAAGAACCTGGAGTGCAACTAGAAAATGCAAAATAAACTTCATTTCCAGGTTCTCTCTCTTCATGGGAAAGCCTCAAAGAGTTTTTTCTTTCTGTTTTTCTGAGCTCCCCCCACCCCCCACTCAGGATGCTCCTAATATCCTTGAAACTTATACCTGCAGGTCACGATCTGTTACTTAATTGTCCAACTATGGCCACATCTGTATGATCCTTATAAAATTGTCTAATTATACAATAGCAAGACATTTAGAAATACCAGGCCAGACTTGGTTGTCTCACCCTTCCCAATTGACCTGCAAACTGACCCATCAAACTCTTTTGTTATATGTGTATAGCCTCATAGTCAGTTACCTGCAAAAATACTGAGAGTACTGCTTTAATATACTTCTCACCATTATTTATTTGTTAGGGGTCAGGCAGGGTGGGAAAAGAAAGGAACCATGGCTTCCAAGAAAGACAGAATAACACCCTACCTGAAAAGTGTTAGTTTCTAGGAATTAGAAAATGTTCCTTTATCCCATCATGGAAGAAACATCCATGTAAGAATGGGAACCTGTCACTCTCTACTGATGACTGCAGGGTGATGGATGGAAAGAGTGGTGTTACATTTATCCAGGTTGACTAGACAAAGTCAAGCTTCCGCGATGATGAGAACAACAAACCCAGGTAAGTCTACCTCTGAAGAACCTGGCCCTGAAATGATCCTTTCCCTCCTTTCTGCTCATTAGAATGGTCTCTTGGAGAATCACCTGCCACAGAGGATCATGACAAGCAGGATGCCAATTCTCAGCTGTCCATCCTGTTCGTGGAAAAGCCTCAAACAGGAACAGTGAAAGTTGGTGAGTGCCAAGCATAAATCCTGCTTTAAAAAAAATGCAGGTGAAATTCACATAACAAAAAATCAACCATTGTAAAGTGAACAACCAATGGCTGTTAGTACACTCAATGTACGGCCACTACCTCTATCTAGTTCCAAACTTTTCGTCATTCCAAACAAAAACCTTGTACCCCCGTTAAGCAGTTACTCCCCATTCTCCCTCCCCTCAGCCTCTGACAATCACTAATCTCCTTTGTCTCTGTAAATTTTCCTATTCTGGGTATTTCATATAAATGGAATCACACAATATGTGACCTTTAGTGTCTGGGTCTATCCATGCCGTAGCATAAATCAGTACTTCCTTTCCTTTTTATGGCTGAACTAGAGGCCTAGTGCATGAAATTCGTGCATGGACAGGGGCAGGGGGAGGGGTGTCCCTCAGCCCAGCCTGCACCCTCTTGCAATCCTGGACCCCTTGGGGGATGTCTGGCAGTCGGATATCCCTCTCGAAATCCAGGACCACTGGTTCCTAACCACTCACCTGCCTACCTGCCTGATCACCCCCAACCCCTCTGACTGACTGCCTGATCACCCCTAACTCCTCCCCTACTGACCTAATCACCCCTAACTGCTCCCCTGCTGGTCTGATCACCCCTAACTGCCTCTGCCTTGCCCTGCACCCATGACCCAGGATTCCCTCCTCTGGCTGGTCACAGGCACCCAGGACCCGAGCTTCCCTCCCTCTGGCCGGCCGCAGGCACCCAGGACCCAGGCCAGCTTCACCCAGGCCAGCCACAGCCACAGGCACCTGGGACTGCGGGGCGGGTGGCTTGTCCCTCTCCCAGGCTGCAGGTGCAAGCACAGCCGCTGGTGCCCAGGACTGCGGGGCGGGCAGCTTGTCCCTCTCCCAGGCTACAGGGACAAGCACAGCCGCTGGTGCCCAGGACCGCGGGGCGGGCGGCTTGTCCCTCTCCCAGGCTACAGGGACAAGCACAGTCGCTGGTGCCCAGGACCGCGGGGCGGGCGGCTTGTTCCTCTCCTGGGCTGCAGCCCCAGCCACTGGCACCCAGGACCGTAGGGCAGGCAGCTTGTCCCTTGCCTGGGTCGCAGCCTGACTGGTCCCCATTCCTCTCTTGCAAGCTCATTTGTGCCTGGCTGGTCCCTATTCTCTCCTCAGTGTCGAGTGTCTGAGCCATTAAGGCATGATGGCATGAGGGTGTGGTGACCATTTGCATATTAGCTCTTTATTATATAGGATAGTATCCCATTGTATTTCTATATTAAATCCTTGAAAAGGTGAGTTATCATTTCAGTACACTTTAGTATGTAGGAGTTGAGTGCCTGGAGCCTGGAGCCTGGAGCCAGGTGGGATACAAATAGGTTTCTTCATTTGTCAAGTGGGGATGATACTGCCTGTGAAGTACTTTGAATAATGCCTGGCATATCTTATATCTCTGAGCCAGTGTTTGCTGTCATTACAACATGCCTCATTCTGTAAAATGATTACACTATCAGGATGTATAATATCTCAGAGGAAGCTAGTCAAACAGATGATTCAACTTTGGAGATACTCATTAAAAAATACTGATTGCACACCTGTTAAAACACTATTCTGAACACTATAACATGTGAGCACTCAGAACTTGCAGTTTTAGCAGGATGAGCAGAAAACAACAAGTTAAACAAACAGATAATCACAAAAACCAAGTACCATGAAGGAAATAAGCAGGGTGGTGAGTTAATAACTTGGGGTCCAGGAATTTTTAACTAAATACATTTTTATAAGAAATACTAGAGGCCCGGTGCACAAAAATTTGTGCACTGGGGCGGGGGGGGTCCCCTCAGCCCGGACTGTGCCCTCTCGCAGTCTGGGACCCCTCGGAGGATGACCACCTGCTGGCAATCAGACATACCTCTGGCAGCCCGGGAGCCCTCGAGGGATGTCCACTTGCCAGGGGGGAGCAAGCCTAAGCTGCAGTTGGACATCCTTAGCACTGCTGAGGAGGCAGGAGAGGCTCCCACCACCACCGCTGTACTGGCAGCCATCAGCCTGGCTTGTGGCTGAGCAGAGCTCCCCCTCTGGGAGCACACTGACCACCAGGGGGCAGCTCCTGCATTGAGTGTCTGCCCCCTGGTGGTCAGTGTGTGTCATAGTGGGCAGCTTCTGCATTGAGCGTCTGCCCCCTGGTGGTCAGTGTGTGTCATAGTGACCAGTCATTCCCAGTCGTTCTACTGTTAGGGACAGTTTGCATGTTACCCTTTTATTATATAGGATAGAGCCCTGGTGCATGGGTGGGGGCTGGCTGGTTTGCCCTGAAGGGTGTCCCGCATCAGGGTGGGGGTCATGCTGGTTTGCCTGGCCACCCTGGGTGAGGGGCTGATGGCTGTTTGCAGCTGGTCACACCCCTTTCAGGGTGGGGGTCCCCACTGGGGTGCCTGGCCAGCCTGGGTGAGGGGCTGATGGCTGTTTGCAGGCTGGTCAAGACCCCCCCCCCCCAGGGAGGACCCTCACCCCATGGAAGTTTGGCCAGCTTGGGTGAGGGCTGTTTTCAGGCTGGCCACACCCCCTTTGGGGGAGGGGGGTCCCCACTGGGGTGCCTGGCCAGTCTGGGTGAGGGGCTGAGGGCCGTTTTCAGGCTGGCCAAGGCCCCCCCTTCCCCCTGCCCTGGCAACAGAAGCTCCCAGCCTCTCTTTTTCTTTTCTTTTCTTTTTTTTTTATTCTGGGATTTATTTACCTTCTATAATTGAAACTTTGTAGCCTTGAGAGGAGCTCAGAGCCAGCCAGGGCAGGCGGGAGGGAAGCTTGGCTTCCTCTATCGCCAGGGGCAACCAAGCCTCCTGCTTGCTCCAGCTCCGTGGCTGCCAGCCGCCATCTTGGTTGGGTTAATTTGCATATAGTTGCACTGATTGGCTGGTGGGCATGGCTTAAGGCATAGCGAAGGTACGGTCAATTTGCATGTTTGTCTTTTATTAGTGTAGATACTGGGATCAGAACTAGTCTTTGACACTTACCAAATAGTATGCATATGAGCCTATGGTTGCCTATATTCTTTCAGGTCAGGAATATAGAAGCACACTGCATGTAAATGGAAATGTCAGCTCCCCTCATGTTTCCAGAAGACACCAAAATGCTGGGCTGGCCCTGGAGCTAGAGTTTTCATGTACTTAGGGTCTTATCAGTAATCTGTCAATTCAAACAGATAGGAAAGTTTATTTCAAAAAGAGCAGCTTCATATAATCATATTCCCATAATTTCAGACTTCCCATTACTTGCTTAATAAAAAAGATTTGAAAAAATTTATACACTATAATAATAAAAACATAATATGCTAATTAGACCTGACAGCCAAACGACCTTCCGGATGACATTCCAAACGAAGCCGCAGTGGCAGCGGCCGAGGCAGAGGCGGTTAGGGGTGATCAGGCAGGCAGGTGAGCGTTAGGGGCAATCAGGCAGGCAAGTGTTTAGGGGTGATGAGGCAGGCAGGCAGAGTGGTTAGGGGCAATCAGTCAGGCAAGTGAGCAGTTAGGGGCAATGAGGCAGGCAGGCAGAGTGGTTAGGGGCAATCAGGCAGGCAGGCAGGCGAGCGGTTAGGAGCCAGCAGTCCCAGATTGCAAGAGGGATGTCCAACTGCCAGACATCCCAAGAGATCCAGGATTGCAAGAGGGTGCAGGCTGGACTGAGGGATACCCCCCAACCCTCCGTGCATGAATTTTGTGCATCGGGTCTCTAGTATATATAGATCTGTATACATACATTTGTGAATTTTTCACCATTTTTATTTCGTATATAGAATATCAACCCGCCCCCCCCCCAATTATTTCTACTAATTAATCCATTGCTCCTTTTTTGTTCCATAAACCTCAAACACAGGGTAAGTTGGAGAATCTAAAGACCTTATAAGGTGCTTGTAAAATAATCAGGGCCATTTCATTGCACAATTCTAGGGGCACCAGTCTCATCATAGTGTATGCAATGCAGTCCCATATAACTCCTTCCAGTTGAGAGCAAAACAAATGACAGTTTTTTAAAATGTCATTTAAAAATGATAGTTTTTATTGATTTCAGAGAGAGGGAAACATCAATTGGCTGCCTTCTGCATGATCCCCACTGAGGATCGAGCTCCAAACTCAGGCATGTGTCCTGATGGGGAATGAAACTGGTGACCTCCTGGTGCACAGGACGATGTTTAATCAACTGAGAGCCGCACTGGCTGGGCCAAATGACAATTTCTAAACCAGTCTGAATCACTTGTGCTTTTTCTAGGTGAAAATATCACCTTTATAGCCAAGGTCAAGGCTGAAGATCTCCTTAGAAAACCCACTGTCAAATGGTTTAAAGGGAAATGGATGGACCTGGCCAGCAAAGCTGGGAAGCACCTCCAGCTGAAGGAAACCTTCGAAAGGCACACTCGGGTATGGCCCTGAACTCCGGGCACAGGGGCCTGGCTAGCTCATCCCTTCAGGGTGGATAAAAGGTCATTTTTATGTTCAGCTTTGAGAGATTTCAGTCCCATAAAATTCTCTGGAGTTAGTGTTCCTAGCGTCTACCCTTAGCACGCTTGCCCTGCTGTGCCCAGAGGCTGTGGAGCACAGGACCCCTCCCCTATTGAGGGCATCGTCATAGAATCCACAGATACAGACGCGTCTTTAAGACAGTGCTGCAGGGTAGGGGAAAAAACTGAAATGTGATGGCATCTTTCTGCCAGGTAGGACTGACATGTGTCGGATGCATTTCATTGCAGATATACACATTCGAGATGCAGATCATCAAGGCCAAAGAGAACTACGCAGGAAACTACAGATGTGAAGTCAGCTATAAGGATAAGTTTGACAGCTGTTCCTTCGATCTTGAAGTGCGCGGTAAGAGAGCCTTCTTGTCTGGATCAATGTGATTTTTTTTTTTGATGGGGCATGAGGGGATGGAGGTGAAGGCCATTTAATACTATGATATTTTGAAAATAAAGTTTCCTTTAAAACTGTGTGTTTCTGGTTGTGATGGTCCCAGCAAGCTTGCTGAATTAAATAGTTATGAGGTAATTTACAAGGGGAAATTGAGGATATTATTGCTGAGCATATCTTGTTCATGCTATCTATATCCCTCCAATCTCCCAAATAAGGGCTGATGCTGTATTGAATGTACATGCTTCATTGGGTCCACTTATTCCCACTCAGGTTTGGGGGTAAGTTAATATGGCACATGGATGTTAGGATACCCAGGTGGAAGGGAGGGTTTCTCTTATAAGGACAGAGATGAGATATGGAAGTTCTTCATTTATATGTTTGGATTTAATAGGGATAAATGTAAAGGTGTACAGGTAGTTTGGGGGTGGGAACCACTTCTCTGAGTACACAAAGGGAAAGTTGACTTGGCAGTAAAGGTCATAAACTTAAGATGACTCCAAAGTGTGATGTCGCTACCAAAGACAAAGCTGGCATAATTTAAAACTAGGCCATTAGACACGGCATAGAATCTAGGTTTAGAAAATGATACCCCGCCCTGCAGAATGCTAGCTGATCCGCATCTGGAGTAATGTCTTGAGCCCTGGGCGCTATACTCCACCAGGATCCCTTCTGGAGGAGGGTAGCCAGGGGGATGGAGAATCCAGAAATCGTGCTCGATTCAGTGTGGATGAAGGAGGTCCTGCGTATACGATTCATTGTAAATAGAGGAAGGGCCATCACACAGAAGGACAGGGCCATTTTCCATGTACTCGAGAAGTGTTTAGGCAGATTAGAATCAAAAGGTAGAAATTAGGAGACGGTGAATTTTGTCTTAACATTAGAGTGAGCTCTTTCGATAAAGCTTTGTAGACACAACAGCAGGTTGTGAGAAGCTCATTCCAAGAGATGTCAAGCAGAGGCTGCGTGATCTGGGGTGGAGGTGTTGTCAAGATTTGTGTATTAAGTGGAAATCTGGTTCTGATCCAACCCCATTGGGATTATAGAATCTTGCCAGGCATCTCTGAAAATCACCTGAAGGGCTTCTTAAGAATTTTGATATCTGGGTACCTATCTCTGATCAGGTGAATCAAAATCTCCCGCAGGGAGATCAAGAAGCTGGCACTTTTTGAAGCTCTTCAGGAGATTCTAATAGGCAGGCAGGTGGAATGACAATGGGCTGCGGGAACATTGATTCTGTGTGAGGGAGGATAACTTATGCTATCTTGGTAGCATTCCAGGAGGAGCCATGCCCCTTCACCTGGCCTTCCTTCCTTCTGAAGAATCCCCAGTCTGGAAAGGAACTGAACACAAAACTGCCTTCCTAATGGTGTTTATTTTATTGTTTTTCTTTCCTTTCAAAGAATCTACCGGGAGTACTCCAAACATTGACATCAGATCTGCTTTCAAGAGAAGGTAACTTCAAAAGGGGACTCAGCGTAGCTTTTGTACAACATGAAAGTGGAGGATTTTTAAAAAAACACTTTCTCTTCCTCCACCCTCTATCATTTCAAATGAGAATTTTTTTCACTATAGTTAAACATACCATATATTCAAAAGTTAGTGTTCTAGAAAAGCCATGGGCTTAAGGCCAAATCAAGTATATATTGATCATGCTTTTTTAAAAAAAAAATCCTCACCCAAGGAAACATTTATCGATTTTAGAGAGACGTACAAAGAGAGAAACATTGATGTGAGAGAGAAACATCGATTGGTTGCCTCTCAAATGCATCCTATCCAGGGACTGAACCCGCAACCTAGGTAATGTGCCAAGACTGGGAATCCAGCCCATGACCCTTCAGTGTACGGGGTTAACACTCCAACCAACTGAGCCTCACAGGCCAGGGCTTATGGGTCATTCTTAAGAATATTCTTGTTAATAGTGAAGCTCCCATTTTGGCAGGTTTCACAGTTGCCTTATAAAAACACACTTTCAATCTATTCATATGTGCCTTCTTCCTTCATTGCATTATTTCCCACCAAGTGGCCAAAAAAGATAAATTTATAAAGATACACATCTTATGTAGAACCAGTTAAGTAATGTCAGAAAACTTACATCGCTTTTCATCTAGAAATCACTTACAGAGCTATTAAAGAACTTTCGAAAACACATTTTTGGACTTCAATTCGTATGACTTATATGTTATACACAGTTTTTAAATCCGCAGACTCCCCTTAGGAACCATAGCTAACATTTGTAAAGAGCAGGAAACAAAATCTTTATTAAAAAATTAAACATGCAAGTGAGTATATAGTGCCATTTAAGTGTAAGCTCCATAGCTTCTATTTAGAGTTTATAAGAAATCAAAGATGGTTGCATGTCTACTTTAAGATGCATTTCTCTATAGAAAAGCACTTTAAAAAAATCCTGTAGAAGGCTCATCAACATTTCAAAGGCAAATTTTTGAAAAATTCATTTTAAAAGAAAATGAAAAGCTTATACGTATTTCCCTTTAAAACAGAAAGAAATGCAACTTTTATTTATTTATTTTTCATTTTTTTAATCCTCACCCAAGGATATTTTTCCATTGATTCTTAGAGAAAGTGGAAGAGAGAGGGAAAGAGAGAGTGAAACATTGATGTGAGAGAAACATTGGTTGCCTCCTGCACACACCCGGACCAGGGCCCGGGCCGGGTAGGAGCCTGCAACCAAGGTACAGAATGGAACCTGAGACCCTTTGGTCCTCAGGCTGATGCTCTATGCATTGAGCCAAACTGGCTAGGGCAGGAATGTATCTTTTAAAAAGCTTTGCACTAGCTCCATTCTTATGTTATGTCGGTATCACATTATCTGATTCATCTATTGGTGGACACAAAGAGGTTACCTTTGAATATAAGCTTTGCACTTATATATGTGACATTGGTACACTTCGTCCTCCAAGCCAATCTCTGTTTGACACGAGTGACAGAGATCAGCAAAAGTCCTTTGCTTTTCACATGGGTATGTTTCCAGACCCTTCCAACTTGCAAAAACAAAGTACTTTGTGTTGTGTGGCTTCATTGCATTTGTGTTACTCCATTTTAACACAAATCTAAGCCGTTTTATATATGCAATCTACAAAACTGTGTCTCTTCATGTTTACTTTTCCACAAGTTACATACTCCAAAAAGTTTTCAATGTCACTTGTGTGAAAAGGAATAGTTTGTGTTGATTTAGTCCCAGGACTTGTGTGCTGGTACAAAATTGCATATACATTATACGTAGAGTGTTTGGGGGAAACTGTTGTGTATGTGTCTCAGCACTAAACCCAGATTTGCTTTTCTTTCGTTAATGACAGTGGAGAAGGTCAAGAGGATGCAGGGGAACTTGACTTTAGTGGTCTCCTGAAACGTAGGTGAGAACCAAGTGATGGAGTGAGGAGCTGTGGCCTGGAAATTTTTAGATACCCACTCAGAGAAGTCAAGTTTAAAGTAGATGTGTTTCAAAGAATTTCTTATTTCTTAAAATGTGTTTTGCTTATAGAACATAACAGAGTCAACTAAGAAAGAGACAGAGAAACAACTGCATACTAATCTGTTCAAGGTTTTAGCATACTAATCTGTTTGTTTTAGCTGGTGCTGTTATATTTTCTTCTTATATGTTTTATGAGTCTTTGCATATTTTCTTAGTCGGGGATGAAGAGATTGAAAACTGAGACAGAAGACTTAAATACCTAAAAACCTCTAATTTCTCTCATTTCAACCATGATTCCCTGTGACGCCGGAATAAAGCTTCCATTCTCCTGCCTTTGATATTTGACTAAAAATTAGTTTCACAATTTTGGTAGAAATATGTATATATATATACATATATACATATATATATATATATATCACATATTATATATATAAAATACATAGATATTTTGAAGGCACACCTACTTTAATATAGCATTTATGACTTACTGTATTTCATCAAATCTAAGACACCATCCATTTTAAGATATACCTGTATTTTATAAATCACTGAGCAAAAAAAATTGCTCCTAATAGTTTAGTATGACATACTTTTGATTATAAGATACATCTTTCTTTCAGAGATGTTTAAAATGTCAAAAAATGTTCATTTAAAAAGAAATAAAATATGGTAATAAAATAGAAATAAATATTTAGCATTATCAACCCTGTTAACATTGTTCGCTCTTACAATAAAACTGGTACAACTTCATTATGGATGTATAGCATATAATCATTTTATATCTATACAGTTGCATATATAATCATATCATATGCAATATTATATTTGTTATATATAAAGTTAAACATATCCAGATATTTAGTGAAGAAACAACAAGAAGAAATTGATTGTGTTTATCTACTAAATTTGTAAGTTAACAGTAAAATTACAGCTCTAAATTGATGATATATAATATTGGTATCAGTTTTCATTTAACTTTTTAGGTTAACTTTTTATTCCTTTTAGTGCTTGCTATGGTTGTTAAAAGAACACAAGTACAAATATGCTTGACAACAAATTATTTAAAAAAATAACTGGGATATCTCAGTTTAGTCTGATTTCAAGTTCCAATGAATGAAAAATTCACCCCAGCTCTAAACATTTAGCTTGAGAACATAAATATTAAAAGGTGCAATTTATTAACTACCAATGGGTATTAGCCAATCAATATACATTGGCAGTATCAAATCATCTTTCCTTCTTTGGACACTTCAAATTGATGCTTCAGTTTATAACACAAATTGACACTTTATGAAGACAAGAAAGGTTTTTTCCCTGCAAATATTTACTCAACCAGCAAAATACGGTTTTCTTGGTATAGAATATAATGCTACAGGTGATGTGAGGAAAAGAAATCCAGTGTCTCCCAGTGCCTGGCACACAGAAAGGGAAGAATACATATTTGCGGGAGGGAAAGAATAGTGGTAAAAACATGGATTTGAGTTTCAACTCTACCATTTACTGATTACATGACTTTGGTCAAATTATATGTCCTCTCTGAGACTTGGTTTCCATATATGTAAATGTGGAGAATAAAAACTACTTAATAGAATTATTGTGAGAATTAAATGTAAAAGGCATGGCTCCCAGTAGGTGTTGAATATTCACTTCCACCAAAAATGTGACATTTTCCCTTGAAGTGTTTATATTTGTAAACAAAATATATACATATACATATCTACCAGTCAATCAAAACATGATACAGTAGATTATTAATTGTCATACTCTGGGTAAAAAGATAAAAGAAAAAAGAACAGACTAGTTCTACCAGTTTGCAGAGTAAAAGAAATCACCTAATTAATGGTGAAAATTACTAGGAAATATGGGCAGCCAACATGTCTCATTTTCTTTACATCCCCTAATTATGATTTTGACTCATAAATAGATTGTTGTTAACATAAGAATATATTCATTTAATATACTATACTAATCCATCAACATAACTTTACAAATCATTGTGTTTTTCTACTAATTTGTGAATTGCATATGTTTTCATTGTGGTAATGACATGTGGTTACCATATCTACTCTAAGAGTCTATGGCAAAACCCCTATCTGAATATATATCATTATAACCAACATCTCCATACAACAAAAGATATCCCTGCCCTGAGTAAATCTTTTAGGTAGCATCTTGTTATGGGTTTTGACCTATATAAATACTTGAAAGTTTTATTCTACATAAAATTTCTATAACTGCTTTGTACTTCACTAGGATCATCAAGTTATAGAAATTTTTATGTAGATGAAAGTACTGTGAATGTTATATAGGTTAATCCCAGTGCTTGGAAAGGAATCAGGAGTGCCTATAGAAATTTGAATTTTTCTCCCTACTATAAATTAATGCAGCCATGCAGGTAGGGCCATCTGCAGCCACACATGTTAAGAAAAGATATGTTCTGGATGAGTTAAGAAAATGCTACAGATGGGAGCCTTGATCTCACAATCCAGTACAAAATGAGGAATACTTCAATCTTGCAATTTGGGATTCAGTTAAGTGACAGAGAGAAAAGGAAGGAACAGGCAAGAGGTCATCGGTATTTGCACACAAAATTTGATAAAATTAAGAATGTGGCAGAGTGAGGTATATTTTGGTGTTTTAATGGAAAAACATGGTGAAGATTGGTTTTATGAATCTATTAGTACTAACAAAACTTAAGAAATCACACGGAAAATGATCTTTATTACTGGCTTCCATCATAAAAATATTCACCTCATGGATCTAGGTATGCCTTAGTGTTTCACTTGTGCCTCTTTTTAGCTATTTTAATCTAGTTTGTTATCTTTAAATCCTTTCGCCAGTGTCAGGAGAATACTTGAAATGTATATGTATCTAATTCTTCTTGGCTGAAATACAAATTTAACACAATATATCATGGCACAATTTTACAGTTTGGGGACTATATTGAGGCTGGAATGCGACAAAAATCGAGCATTAATAAAGTGGATTGAGGGAATACTCACAGAGAATATATACATATGTACATATGCATTTTAATTGCAATTCTTCCAGACTTCCTACAAAATATTTAAAAGACATATTTGAAATTTAGACTGCTTTCAGACAGTAGATTTAGTAGATCTGGCAAATTATTACTAATATTCCAACATCAGTACAATTTCCCAAGCATTTCAATGTCCCCAGGTTAATAGAGGGTGTTGTTATTTCAGTGAGTGAACACAATACTTGTGTTTTTAAGAGGCACACTTTTTCTAATGGTGTTTTCTAGTCCTTTTCACAAAGGTTATTGATGGACCAGTGACCCTCACTCCCTTCCACTTCCCAGATTAGCCTCAGCATCCTCTGCCTCTAGGTAAAATGACTTACATGACAATGGAAATTAGATATTCAGCAGTCTTCCTTGCCTAACATCACCCTAAACTCTATGTTAATATTTGTATTCTCCTCCCGTTCCCATAATTGCAATCCAGCATTTCCTCAAAACACTGAAACAAGTGTGATTCATGTGACAATGCAAACATATGTAATCCATCATTTGCTAACATGGTAGCATGAGTCTGTTTTCACACTGATGTTTAAGATGTGTTGACCAGTTTTCCTGGAAAATCATATCCAAACCAGCATTATTCACAGTAAGTAGTCACTGTAACATTCCCTAATTAATCTGATAAAGAAGTCAATTAAATGTCAACAAAATCAGGATGATTTAGCCAATGAAGGAAATCCATTTAAATTATATTTGCATTTACCCTAAGGATCTTTTCCTAAAGAGTGTTTATTCCTGAGTTTTTGTTTCATTTTTTGGTTTTAAAACAAGGGCAGACAAATATACTTTAAATCAAATATTCTTTAATTGTGTATGTTCTTTACATGTTCTATATGTTCTTTAGTCAGTAATCGAAGTTTTGAGTCATAATTTTGACAATTACACTAAGAAGTTACTATTTCCTTGTTCATGTAACTCTTAATCATTTGCTTTAAGGTTTAACATTTATATCTTTATAACTCATACCAAGGCTGTCCTAAAAATTTCAAGACTGTACTTTAAAATGAAAAAAATAATTGGCCTCGTTTTCCTTCCCCTGACAATTTAGAAAACAATTATTTTCAAAATCATATGTATCCACAAAAATCAGACAAAAAACAAACCAACCAAAATAAAATAAAATAAAATAAAACGTGGCAATTTCAAATATTTTTGCATTAAAAAAATAGCAAAAAATCATGAGCATACACATTTACTAATATGGTAAGAAACACGCTATTTGCATAATCCAAAGGTGTGTGTACTATATGTGTACTGTCTTCATATTTAGATTAGTAGATAGGGTGTGCACACCAATGAAGGTAGAGAGCCTTTTCCCCTCATAGACCAATATTTAAAACTTCTAGTTCTTAAACTACTTTTTTCAATAACCATATCCTAGATGAACACTGGTCTTAAGTTCCTCAAATCTCACCTTCTAGACTTTTCAAGTTGAAAATAAGTAAAAATACCTTCAAGCTATTTCCTAATAGCCTCCAATCCTCCCTCTCCCCTCCCCCCCCTCCCCGTCTATGCTAGGAAAACGAGTGTTCCTATACGTGCACCTATCTAATCTTTAACTATCTGGAAGCTTCCCTGAGACTTAAAGCAAAGCCCTAGACTTTCTTCTCAGCTTAAGTGCTCAGACACTAAACAGAGCTTTCAACACTGAACCGGAAAACCCTTCCCGGTCGTTAAGGGCCAGCGAGCAGCAGCTCAGCTAAGCAACGGTTCTCCCCGGTTAGGGAGGTGAAGCAGCAGCAGGACGAGGAACCCGAGATAGACGTGTGGGAGCTGCTGAAGAATGCGAACCCCAACGAGTACGAGAAGATCGCCTTCCAGTACGGCATCACCGACCTGCGCGGGATGCTCAAGCGGCTCAAGCGCATGCGCAGGGTGGAGAAGAAGAGCGCAGGTGAGCCCGCTCGGGGGCGTGGCCGCCGGGGAAACCCCGCCCGAGACCCTCCCTCCCTCCCCCTGGGTTTGGGGTGGGACTGGCTGGGGTGGGTTTTGTAGGAGCGAACGCTTATTTTGATTACCTTTGGCTCCAGGTGAGCTAGTCCACTGCCCCGCACAGCACTGACTACGTAGGTAGTCGACAAGCTGCTTAAAGTGTAAGGTTAACAGAAGGATTACATTACAATTCTGCCACGTACTGCATATAATAGAGTATTAAATATTCCCAATGTCACTGATAATTTCTCAGCGCCCCCTTTCTCCAGCCTCCACATCTCCCTCACTCTCTAATCCTTCACTCTTGTTTAGGCAGAGGAGATTCGATGTCTGTTTTACCATCAGATTCTTGTACATTCACTTCTCACAGCCAATAAGGTTATCATCGTGTTTTGTGAAATAGCGATGCTGCTCCCTGGTGACCTAAAGTGGATGCAGTTCGTGTGGTTTTTAAATACCCTTTAAAAAAATACTGTAAGACGTTGACATTTAAACTAAGAAAAAAGAAATACGTTTTAAATTGATCATTAGCTCTTCATAGTTTCCTATACTTGGTCATCGTTCGTTATGGTTTATGACACAGCAGGTTAACATATCAATCTGATTCTTGTTTATTGTTTGTTAATGTTCAAATAGAATTTAAATAATCTCACCAACTCCTTTTTAAAATCTGCCCTTTATTTCTCTGTGTAAATTGGTTGAGAAATGGCCCCACAGAAATATAGAAGTGGTTTGTTTCTGTTTTGTTTACCAACTCGGCCATTCTCAGACTCACTCTCTCGGACTCCTGAAGTTTTATTTCTGAGAGGTGTCTGACACACCGGCCTTCCTTATACTTGTCACTTAGCTCTGAATTGATGTCTCGAGGTATGTGATAGATAACTTTTTTTAAGCTAATATGTATTTTGTCTTGCTAAAATGTGAGGGCATGAGCTTGTTTGAGAAGTAGTATAATAAAGTTGGAATGATGGAAATGCAAGCATGACAACTTCGTGAGGCATTCCACACTTAAAGGTATTTCACAAACTGTTTAAAGGAGAATTATTATCTTTAAAATCATAAAACATATGAACTTTTAAAAAGGTTAACTACCTTTGTTTAGGACCTTTCAAAGACAATATTTTAAAGGACCACTATGTTCTATGTTATTTAAATTTTGTTGAAACCCTGCGTTCCTAACTACATATGTAAGAGGAGTTTTTAATGTGCCGCTATTTGGGCAAGTATCCACAGTACAAAAATATCTGATAAGCCTATTTCAATTACTCAAAGGCATTCAATTTAGACTTATGAATCATTGAATTTATCTCACAAATTCTAGATTTTTAAAAAAACTATCTGTGACATAGAAGACATACGAAGGTAATACCAATAATTCTGACAGTAATTACTAGTATACTAGGAGGATAAGCATATTCTTCAGATTCAATTGGGTGCTTTATATCAGACATCCCCTGGAGGATTAGGACAATCATTTTAAAAGCCTCCTCAGTAATTTCTTTCTTATGTTTCTTCCAAAAACATGTGGATTCTCTTTAAACTTTATAAACCAGTTTATTGTATGTAAATCAGCCCAGAATTCTAAAATATAAGGATAATTTGTAAGGTTTCTATTTTTCTTCTTCTCTGAGTCTTAATTTTTCATTTTGTTTTGGGTTCTCATACATATATTGACTATTTAAATTCATAGCATATGTATATGCATATTAATATAGTTTTGCTTCTTCTCTCTACTAGCTTTTGCAAAAATTCTTGATCCTGCATATCAGGTTGATAAAGGAGGCAGGGTAAGGTTTGTTGTGGAATTGGCAGATCCAAAGTTGGAGGTGAAATGGTATAAAAATGGTCAAGAAATTCGACCCAGTACAAAGTAAGTGAACTTTACGAATAATCAGTGATAACTATATCAAACAGTAGTTTGACTTAATTTTCTATGAATAACAGCACTTTTTATTTAACCTTTACAAAGCAAAATTATATAGAGGGAGAATAAAACCTTTTCATGTATTTTGAAACCATTAAAATTACAGCGCTGTGTGAATTAAACCTTGTTTTAGATTTAATTCTATACAAACTATTTCAGATGACTCCCAATTATGGTTTTTGTCACTATAAGTTATGTGTGATTATATCAGGGTGTTACCAAACTTCTCTCAATTTTTTAAAATAAAAGTTTGAAAAATTTTGAAATACATATTTGATATACCAGCTGGGAGTCCCAATTTATAAGTACATAAGTTTTGTTTTTCCAGAGTAGCATCCAAAGCCTGGGTTTTATTATTGCTTGGCCCTCGCCCAAATGAAGAAGACAGACTAATCCCTGATGTCTGATGGTATCGCTGGTCTATTATGAAACTGATTTACAGAGATCCTTGTCAGCCCGAGAGATTTTCAACTCCAATATGTTTTTAAGTTAATAGGATTCACATGCATGTCTATAAAAGACTTTAATCCTAAAAATTTGTCACTTCTGTAGAACAATTAGGTGGCTTCTGATTTCTTAATGTGGTCATGCCTACAGAATGACTGTGATGATAAAAACCTCTTGAAGGTGGCCTGAATTCATCAAAAACATAATTTTACTTGGTTATCTTAGTCTAGAAAATGTTTAGTGTTTGATCCTCGAAGTCTTCAATTTGAGAATTTTCCAAATAAAATGTTTTCCTGTAGTCTGTTTTAATGCCCTACTACACGCATCTATAATCCAAATCATAGATAATGAAACTGGGCAGTCTTCTTGGCTTTTAGTTTTTTTGTTTCCAAATACCCAAGTTCTTTCTTAATAGATGGTAACTGTGATCTGATAACACTAGTTCTTAAGCTCATTTAAGAGAATGTCACATTCTATAGAATTACTGTCTATATTAATGATTAAGTTAATATTATTGCTTAAATTGTGTAATCATTTCTTTGCCCCAAAAGTCTGTGTCCCTGGACTAGGCAAGGAGTGGAATCAATGAATCAGTGAATAAGATCAAGGCTCTGTCCCTCTACAAAGTAGATAGATTGTTCATTTAAAAAATGTATAGAGTTGACAATCTCTCAGACAACCCTGTTTTCCAAAAATGGGTTAAAATATTAAATAGAAAATATGTGAGAACTTATTTATATTTGAAATAAAAACCTTAAATAGAAGAAAATGACTGAAATTAAATATTAGTGTATAAGTATGCATATAAATTACATTATGCATTATAAAGATAAAAAGTGGTTTCATGTTTGCTGTTCATTAAACTATGTAAGATATGCTTCATAAATGGCAGATCAAAATTATATCCCTGTCTTTCAAGCATTACCAAATTATAAGCCAAATTGTCTGGCAAGAAAGAAAAGAATACAATCAGGTTTATAGACTCTGTTTATCTTCCTCCCATTTAAAATAGATACATCTTTGAACATAAAGGATGTGAAAGAATTATGTTTATCAATAACTGTGGGCTAACAGATGATTCGGAGTATTATGTGACGGCTGGCGATGAGAAATGTTCCACAGAGCTCTTTGTGAGAGGTAAAGTGAAATCTCTTACTATAGTCATCAAGAGCCAGGGGCTGTCTGTTGGGGGTAATAATTAAAGTGAAAGTGATGAGGTGAGGTCTTGAGTTCCACAACAGAACTAAGTAGCATCTCTAGAGATAGTTTAGTTTGGATGCTCGATTGGCTCTGTATTGAAGCTACTCTACCCTGGCAGTTAATGTATATCCTAATTAATCTTCAGTTTCATTGAAGACTAGAAAAGCTAAGGAGAGAAAAAACTGCTGAGGACAAATGCCCATAGGTTTTGACTCAAGCAAGCAGTATTTTACAAAATAATTATTCTAGTTATACCTTCTGAAACCCAATGAAGTCTACAGAATAATCCTCATCTCGCATGCTCAGCTGATAAAAAAAATAGATTTCTCTTGAACCCAGCTTCATAACTAAAGGGGCATTAGTGGTTGGCACTGAGAGCTCTAAAGAGTATCATTTCCTAAGACATTGTGAAAAGAGCCAGAGGGTGTCAGTGAAGCCAGCCATCACTTATTTTTATTTTTGTGAGACCCCTTCTCAAGACAATTCTGCAATCTCTATCACCCATCTAGAACCAGAATCGAAGAATTTTAGTCTTAAAGGTTCTCCTTCATCAGAAATGTCTACCACCTGGTATCTTATTTGTCCATCCTATCCCTCCCCCACAGCAAAATTATGTTTGATACATTTTGTCTGCTCTCTAGAACAATAATTTATTTGATTTGATGAGTTCTGGGAAAATTTACTCAGGGCTGTCAGCTATTTATTTTGCCAAAAAAAGTCATAAAGACCCCCACCTACTATCTATCACCATCAAACTAACCATAGCTCTGTGGTATGATACTTTCTTACTTCTGGTTTTTCATCAGTGAATAAGTTTGGGGTTGTGAGGCAGGTTTGGAACATTTAATGATTCTGATTCTCTCTTATTTTCACACTAGAGCCTCCAATTATGGTGACCAAGCAGCTGGAAGATACAAATGCTTACTGTGGGGAGAGAGTGGAATTAGAATGTGAGGTGTCTGAAGATGATGCAAATGTAAAATGGTAAATATCTTTAATGAGGTCTGTTCATTTTTAATAGACAGACAAAAAAGTACCTTCATAGTTTGGACAATAGGAAATTGTTTTTACAGATATGAAAAGAATTCCAGTCTCATTCGTGTTAGTATAAATGGTAACTATACTAAAATACTGTTTTGTTTTTTACTTATGGAACTGAAAAAGATCTGAAAAGCTGTATTGGTAAGGATGTAGGGAAGTAGGTTCAAGGTTGCCAGGTCTGTTCAACCCCAAAGATAATAGATGCTCATGGAATATATACTTTAAAAAAAATTTTATTCCTAAGCATTTTATTGTTATAGTACCTCAGAAAAATATTTTAGACTAAGAATCACCAATTACTTAAAAAAAATAAAACCTTTTTTTTTTTTGTCAGATGGAAATATTTAAAAAAAAACACCTTTTTTTTTTTTTTGGTCAGATGGAAATATTTAATTTAATCCTAAATTAAAATGCTTTGTTGGGAAGTATAGTAAATTACATGGCCGGAGTCTGTAGTAATTGGCACAGAGTTGATTGTTCATTCTAATCTAGAATCATCAAATGTATTAAGCCATTATTCTCACTAGTGTACGTCAAAGGCCCAAACATGGGTAATATCTGCTCTTAGCATATTCATCTGTTTTATCTTGAATGGAAAGAGGGAGCTTATGTTCTTTTCATGTAGTTTTTCAGACAACATTTGTCATAATAATAATTTATTGATAGATTGATTTATACATTCTTTAATTCATTAAATCGTTCTTGAATGTCTGGTGTCCTGACAGATATTCTACAAAACACTGGGATATGGGGAAAACAAGGCCAATAAGGCCCATCTCTTGAAGGGTCATTTATAAAAAATTTTAATCTATTTTAACCCAGGTTTAAGAATGGTGAAGAGATCATCCCTGGTCCAAAATCAAGATACAAAGTTAAAATTGAGGGCAAAAAACACACTTTGATCATAGAAGGAGCAACCAAGGCTGATAGTGCAGAATATTCTGCAATGACAACAGGAGGACAATCATCCGCTAAACTTAGCGTTGGCTGTAAGTAAGACTTCCTTGGATGTCTTCCTTGTTGGCTTACCAGTGGTGTTGCATTTGTTAATTCCATTTTAGAAAAGTTTCCATCTATTTGATTTCTACCTGTGGCAATTTTAAATATGTAAAATTAAATTCCATTCTAGCTGTGTGTCTATGTCCTATCAACCGGGGTCTCTGAGAAAAGAACCAACTATTCAAGTTCACAGTAGAACACCCATATTGAGAGGGAAGGATAAAAACCACCTGCCAGAGAAGTTACCCATGGTTAAGAAATATTTTCATCTCCAAATTACATAATAGATGATAGTTAGACATGATATCAACTCTTGATCATGTTTGCTTAATCCATAGGCGAACTTGCTATCTGTTCATTAAATAAACATTCAACATTCTGCAATTACATTTGAGATGAGTTACTCAACTAATAGGCCTCAATTGAGAACACTGAAGACCTAATTTGCTCATATGCTTCAGAGGCATGTGAGAATTAATGTACTTCCCCTAAATGCCCACTATTAGTTCTCAATGGCAGTCTTTCCCTTTCAGTTAGATATGAAAATTAAAATAGCAGATCTCGCAAGAAGATTGATAATACACACAGAGCAGAAATCCTATTTCCTTACTGCTTTCTTGGTCCAGTTGCAATTCATATAATCACCAAATTATTAAAAAGTAATTTCAGTACACTCCTATGTTTCCTGGAGTGGTGGCCATTTTAGTTTAATATCAAAAAAGGTTTTTTAACCGTAGGCAGATCTGATATTTGTATCCATTTAGAGCAGGTACAGTCAGTTCTGTTATAATGCAACATATGCATTTCTGAAAATCACTGTGCTATCCAAAGTCATGAAATAAAAACCAAAGGACTAGGGAGAGGGACTGAGGTTATGGACACAACACTCAAAATTTTTGTCAGCAACACATCTTACAACAGGAGCATATGATTTCCTGTTATATATCATATCTTACCTGTAATCCTGAATCTATACCTTACAATATGTTGCTTTGTCTATTCAAAACCCAAAAAGAACCTAACAAAAATATTAGCACAGTTTTACACATGTTAAGTGGTTGATAAATAGAACAATGTATATGGTGCTTTACCTTAAAAAGGAACTGACATTTGCTTATGGATGTGGTGTCAAAAGTGTTGCAGCTTGTGAGCTATTGGATAGTGGTAATCTCAGTTGTGCATGGATGTGGCTCACATCACACGGGTGAACTGAGGCAGCTGGTAGATGTGTGTGTGGGAATGTGGGGGGTGTTTTGTACAGTCCTACCTGGCTCAGCTCAACTGGGTGCAGTTTTTTAAATTCACCTAATCTTTGTCATGAATAAAATTGTATGCAATCAAACATGAGATTTGTGTTATGCTACAATTGCCCCCTTAATATATTAATTGCATTGGAACAAATTCTCATTTTCAAAGCAATCCTTAATAACAAAACTGGCCATACCGTTGTGAAATGACACCATGTTTGCCTGTCTGGATTGGGTTTGGCACTGATAATTGTCTATTATTTTTGTAGTGAAGCCTCTGAAGATATTGACACCTCTAGCTGATCAGACTGCAAAACTTGGAAAAGAAATCTGCTTGAAGTGTGAAGTCTCTGAAAACATTACAGGAAAATGGACTAAAAATGGGCTACCTGTTCAGGAGAGTGACCGCGTAAAGGTTGTACACAAAGGAAGGTAAGCAAGCTAGGCAACCCCGAAGTGAAGGCTGGTCCCCATCTTTACTTTTTCCCCTTCCTAAATTACACATTGGCAAGAATGTTTGAAGAGCCGTCCAAGGGAAAGAATCTATTTCTGATTCATTGCTGCCGAATAGGAGAAGCATATATTTCTCTGTTATACATCATGTCCTACCTGTAATTCTGGGTCTGCACCTTACAATATGGTGCTTTGTCTATTCAAAACCCACTGACTGATTCTTTCTATCTAAACATGAGGTTAGAGGAATGATACTGATTCTAGTTGAGGAACTGGTCAAATTGGATTAACTGTCCCTAACCAATAAGTGTCACATGACCTTTCCAGAATTTTTTTTGGAGGGGAAGGGAATAATATCCTAGAACCTAGCAAAAATAATCTAAGGCATGGGTTCTCAAACTTGGATCCATGGATCCTAACAATATCATGAATGAACTTTAAGGGCCTTCATAAATCCTCTGAAATTGTTAGCAAATTCGGTGTGTACAAAAATACCTGTTTTTCTCCAGCAAGAAGATCCGTAGTGGCCATCAGATTTTCACTGGCTCATGACCTCAATAAAGTTAAAAAGTATTACTCTTAGGTTTGGTATATAAAGCCAAAGTCAAGGTTATTCTTAATAATTTCTTGAATCTTAAAGTATGGTATCAGTGAGATATTTTCTTTTAGCCTTTTTAATGCCATGAGATAAAAAAGAATAAGAGATTCTTGCTTAATAAGTAAGTTGTATTTGTAGAGATAACTCCATATAGTCTAAAATAGATATTTAATATGGACCAATACATAGGAAAATTAAGACTTCACATTATTCTCTCTCTAAGCTGCACTAAACAAGTTAATCAGATAAAAGCCAGGTGTCTCCTCAGTTTGGGTCATATACAATCTAAATCTTTGCAAAGTCTTAGAAATATGGTTTTCTCATTTCCTTAGAATCCACAAATTAGTGATAGACAATGCTCTCATTGAGGATGAAGGGGATTATGTATTCACACCAGATGACTACCCTGATACTATGTCTGCCAAAGTTCATGTGATTGGTGAGTAGATAAAAGTAACTTTTGCAAAGTCCTGTTCTTTTATTTTTGTTGTTGCATACCTTGGAATTGTAACATATTCAAAACTGTGTGATGTTTAAGGAAAAAAGTACATGAACTGTTATTAATCACTACCATATGGTTGATTCTTAAGAAATCTTACTATGAAGTAGTTTTGAAAGGTGCCTCCTTTACACTGACTCCTCTTACATTCTTTTTGGGCAGATAAAATATTGATTACTACCAATGTTTAACACTAGCCAAGTACTATCCCAGATATTCACATGGGAATGACTGTCTGATAACAAAGACCATGTTTAATATTCCAGATCCTCCTAAAATCAACCTGGATGGTCTTGATGCTGACAACACAGTAACAGTAATTGCAGGGAACAAGCTTCGTCTTGAGATTCCCATCAGTGGAGAACCTCCTCCTAAAGTTATTTGGAGCCGAGCAGATAAGGTTTGTTCTACACACACACATATACACAAACACACACACTGCCCACCCCACTTCCTGACCTCCATTACTTAGATGAAAGAAGAAGCAAATAAATGTACAGGGGTACAGCAACAGTGTAATTCTTTTGATAAGAAAAGATCAGTGATTCTCAGACAAATGTAATAATCATTCATTTACCTTTCATATATATGACTTCCTTCTATGTGACCTGGCATGTTTTTATGTGCAGTGAACAAGATTATATATTTCATTTTAATGAATGTGAGGGAATGGGATGGAGAAGAAAGATGCAATGAATTATTTAAATAAATAGATGGATAAAATTATTTTGCATAGTAACAAGTGCTATGAAAATTAAACAAAAATAGGCTAATATAATTAGCCAGTAACTGTGTGGTGAATGACAAAAGCCTCTTTAAATGACAACAAGGAACCCATTATGTGAAGATCAAAGAAGAAAGATTTTCAGGTGAAGTCAATGCAAGTGCAAAGGATAAAAGGAGAGAATGAACTTGATGTGTTGGAAGAATAAAAAGAAAGCCAGTGTGACTGGGGTAGAGTGAGGGAGAGAATAATAAGGTTGTAGTGGTAGATTAGTATCAGCTCATATGTGACCCTATGGATTCCTATATAAAACTAGATGCCTGGTGCACAAAATTTGTGCACTTGGGGGAGGGGTCCCCTCAGCCCAGATTGTGAGAGGGCACAGGCCAGGCTGAGGGACCCCACCGGTACAGGATCAGGGCCAGGGAAGGATGCAGGAGGTTGGTCAACCAGGGAGGAACCGTAGGAGGGCTCCAGGGCATGTCCAGCCCATCTCGCTCAGTCCCCATCAGCCAGACACTAGCAGCAAGCTAACCTACCTGTCGGAGCATCTTCTCCCTGGTGGTCAGTGCATGTCATTGTGAGCAGTTGAGCGGCTTTAACATAGCATTAGCATATTACACTTTGATGGGTTGAATGGCCAACTGGAGGACTGGACTCTTAGCATATTAGGCTTTTATTATATAGGATGTCGTATGGGCAGCAAAACTACTCCATATGATTCTATAGTTTTGGATACATATCATTATAGATTTGTCAAAACCCATAGAATGTACAACACCAAGAGTGAACCCTAATGTAAATTATGGACTTTAAGTGATAATAATGTGTTACTGTAACAAAAGTGCTGCTCTGACATGGGGTGTTAATAGTGGGAAAGGTTGTGCATATGTAGGGATGGGTTATATGAGAACTCTCTGGACTATCTGTTCAATTTTGGAGTAAACCTAAAACTAATTTCTTCTTCATCATCATCATCATTATCATCATCATCAAAGAGTTGGAGAGTATTTCCTCCTTTTCTATTTTCTAGAGGAGGAAAAAAGTATCATTGAGCCATGGAACAACTTCAAGCAGTGCAATTGGAGTCTTGAAAGAGGGGGTCAGAAAACTATGTAAAGAAATAGTAGTCAAAATGTTTCCAAATTTGGCAAAAATTATAAATGCAGATACAAGAAGCTCAATAAAAACCAAGCACAAGGAGCATTAAGAAAATGACTCCAAGACTCATCATAATTAAATTGCTCTAAGCTTGTGAGTAGGAAAAAACCTTAAAAGTAGAAAGAGAAAAAAGTCACATTTAATACACAGGAACATAGGCCAGGATGACTTCAGATTTCTCTGGAAGCAAGGCAAGTGAGAATACAGTGGGCAACATCTTTAAAGAAAAAGACTGTCAACCTAGAATTCTGTACTCAACAGAAATACTTTTCAGAAATGAAAACAAAATAAAATGATTTTCAGATATATAAAATCTGAAAGAAATCAGCAGCAGCAAACTTGAACTATAAGAAGTGCTAAAAGAAGTCCTTAACCCTTTGAGTGCCAACCAATATCCTAGGAACTATGCTAAAATTGCCAAGGCATTTTTGCTGATTTTACAGCAGTTTAGAAAAAAAAATTATTAATTTCAAGTAAATGAAGTTACATATTCAAAAACTTAAGGAAACCTTTACTACATTTGTTTTCATCTTTGACATATATTGTTTGCTGATTGTATTATAAAATACTAGTAGAAAAAAATTGAACAAAACATATAACGTTAAAATAGAGGAACACCCTTCTCCAATATCTTCCACAAAATCGTCATCTTCACAGCAAGAACTGACATATTTAGCAATGTCATCATCACTAATAAAAGCAGACTTAGAACTGGACGCCATTTTGAAGCTTTAGGGCTACAGAATCTGAGTAAACTTCATAAAATCGTAGTACCTGTAAAAAATTAGGCAGATAAATGCCAGTGGTCAATTTTAGAACTACAAACATTCGGCATCATAAGTAATCTGCACTTAGGTGCCATCTGTCAATAAAGAGTGAACTACTAGCATTTAATAGTGACACTGCAGGAGGAGCGCAATCACGCTCCTGGCACTTTTGGGGGAAGACAGGAGGAGCGAGGAGCGTGATCGCGCTCCCCGGAACTCTAGGGGTTAAGTTAGAAGGAAAAGGATATCAGATGAAACATTTTCACAAAGGAACAAAGAGCATCAGGAATGATAACTGCATTTAATAGATAAACACATAAGAGGTTTTTCAATATTTAAATCTCTTAAAAATAATTGACTGAAAAATAATAACAATGCACTGTGTGGCTTATATCATAGGTGTAAGTAAAATTTATGACAATAAAACCATAAGGTCAAGTGGGGAGAAATGGAAGTAAGGATCAGTAGAAATAAAGTAGAAGAATGCTATTATAAGTTTCTTTTCTTTGCTATACATGAACTATTATTACATCATGTGAAGGTAGACCATGAAAAATTAAGGATGTATACTATAAACCCTAAAGGACCTACCTAAATAAAAAATGACTTATAGCTAATAAGCCAACAAAGGACATAAAATGCAGTCACCAAAACATTTATTAATTCAAAAGAAAGGCAGGCAAGAAGCATGAAGAACAGATGGGACAAATAGTGGGGGGAAGCAAGATATAAAATTGCAAAGAGAAATATATAAATTAGAGATTTCAATATTCTTCTCTCAATAGTTCATAGAACAAGAAGACAGGCAATCATTAAGTATACAGAAGATTCAAAGAATACTATCAACCACCTTGAACTAATTGACATTGATAGGACACTCCATTGAAAAAGCAGAATGGGCATTATGTTAATAAGCACATAGGAAATTTACCAAGATAAACCATTAAAAAGTCTCAGTAATGTTAAAGGATTTAAGTTATGCAAGGTATGTCCTCTGACTACAATGGAATTAATTACAAAGCAATAACAGAAAGATATCTGGAATCTTTCCAAATATTTGGAAACTAAGGAACATTTTTCTGAAGAACTCATAAATTAAAGAAGTAATCATAAATAAAATTAGAAAATATTTATGAAATGCTGCTAAATCAGTACTGAATAGCCTTCTATCTATAAAAGAAATGGAATTTGTAGTTAAAAACTTGTCACAACAAACGACAAGTGCTGGAGAGGATGCGGAGGAAAAGGAACACTCGTGCACTGCTGGTAGGAATGCAGACTGGTGCAGCCACTATGGAAGACAGTATGGAGTTTCCTCAAAAAGTTAAAAATGGAACTCCCATTTGACCCAGTGATCCCACTTCTAGGAATATATCCCAAGAAACCAGAAACACCAATCAGAAAGGATATGTGCATCCCTATGTTCATAGCAGCACAATTTACCATAGCTAAGATTTGGAAACAGCCTAAGTGCCCATCAACAGATGAATGGATTAGAAAACTGTGGTACATCTACACGATGGAATACTATGCTGCTGTAAAAAAGAAGGAATTCTTACCATTTGCAACAGCATGGATGGAACTGGAGAACATTATGCTAAGTGAAATAAGCCAGTCAATGAAAGAAAAATACCACATGACCTCACTCATTTATGGATAATAAAGACCATTATAAACTGATGAACAAAAATAGATACAGAGGCAGAGCAGCATCAAACAGACTGTCAAACTACAATGGGAAGACTAGGGAGGGTTGAGGGGAGGGGGTAAGAGATCAACCAAAGGACTTGTATGCATGCATATAAGCAAAACCAATGGACACAAGACACTGGGGGTTAGAGGAGGCCAGGGGAAGGTCAAGGGCGAGGGGAAGGAGACATATGTATTACTCTTTGTAATATTTTAAGCAATAAAGCAAAATTAAAAAAAAACTTTTCACAAAGAAAATCCCAAGTCTAGATGGCTTTATTGAGAGTTCTACCAAACACTTAATAAAGAAATAATACCAATTCTGCACAAACACTTCCAGAAAATTGGAGAAGAGAGAAGAGTATTTCTCAATTCACTCTTGAAGACCAGTATTACTCTTATAGCAAAATCAGAAAAAACAACAACATTATAAGAAGAGAAAACTACAAACCAGTATCACTCATGAACATAGATAAAAAGTTCTACACGAAATTTAGCAAATTGGATCCAAAGATATATAAAAGGAATACTATATTATGACAAAGTAGAGTTTATCCCAAGAATGCAAAGGTTGTTTAACACTTGAAAAACAATTAATATATTTTACCATATTAATAGACTAAGGGGAAAAAGTATGATCATCTCAATAGACACAAAAACATTTGACAAAATCCAACACCCTTTTCTAATATCTCACAGCAAACTAGGAAGTGAAAGGAACTTTCTCAACATAATAAAAGACAACCATGAAAATCCTATAACTATCATTAAGTAAATGCTGAAAGAGTGAATGCTTTGCCCCTAAGATCAGGAAAAAAGAGAGATAGATGTCTACCCTCACCACTTGTCTTCAACACTGTACTGGAGGTTCTAGCCAGGGCAATTAGGAAAGAAAAAGAAATAAAAGGTAATCATATTGGAAAGAAGAAGTAGAACTGCATTTATTTTCCTGTGACATAATTGTAGATGTAGAAAATCCAATGTAAAAAATCCACTAGAACAAATGGTACCGTAGCCTAATTTGTATTATCTGAAAGCTGAAAATAATGCAATTGTCCA